GATTATGTTAAGATGTCTATTAAGAGATCTTGAGTAATTATATGTATTATTAGTAAAGAAAGCAGGGCTGGAGAGAAATTAAAACCTTGAAGCTAAATGATGAAGTCATTAGGGCTAGAGAAGATCCAAGGTCTCAACCCCAGAGTACTTAAAATACTTAGAAGTTGGAGAGATGTGGAAAAACTAGCAGAGCTGACTAAGTGGCTGCTAGAGAACACAAGTGCTGTCTTAACCCCAGTCATCTGAACTTCTTAAGGAACCTATTTACCGTTTTTTGGTCTCTAAAGGAGAACTCTGTGTTAGCAGGACAGTCAGTCTACTCATCACCATCCTCTTCTACCTTAAGGTATGCAAAGGGATAGGTTACATCATTCATTAAATTGATGTTGAGTGCTTAAAATACACAGTGAAAAACAACTCCTGACTTGGGGAACTTATATTCTATTGGAGATGTGAGACCAAATCTAAAAATGGGGATTATTTAGTAGACATAAATAGCCATACAATAAATGTTTGATTGGCCCAGGTTCCAAAACAAGAGGAATATTTGGTAGATATATACAACAAATATTTCATTGACCTGTGTTCCAAAAATTCAAGTAAGAATATCCAGTGGTAGAAAATAACAGGTTTAAGCATGTGATCATTAGGTATCATAAACCCATTATAGCTAAAACAATTCAAATACTGATATTCAACAGATTTCACCCTTTGTGCTGAGCCAAAAATGAAATTTGTATAATGTTACCCATTTTTCAGAATTGCTAACCTTTTATTACAAAACCAGAAAAGCTATAAAAAGAAAAAATTACTTCTTCCATCAAAATAATAGGCACATTCATTTTGATCATTGACGCCTGTTATGCTGGTCCCATAAGATCATAATTGAAGTGAAAATTTCCTATGACCTAGCTGCCATAATGTCATAACTCAACACACTACATGCCCACATCATATAAAAATATAGCATATACAATTGTTTTATGCATAATATTTTATAATCAATTATTACTGGCTCATGAATTTGTTATAACATACTTTTATAATTACCTTGCAGTGTGCTAGTACTTATAAAACAAAATTTACTGTAAAATAGAATGCAATGTTAAGCCAGAAGCAACTTTTGTCAAGTCTGTATATTGCGTTGAGGCCATGTCTAGTGATTGACCACAACATATGTTTATATAAGTAAACTCTATCATGTTTACACAATGATGAAATTATACAAAGACATTTCTTTTTCAATTATAAAGTATTAAAATTTAGTTACTATAAATGATTTGTCAAGTCATAAAATTCACTTTGTCACTTTCAAATAATTCCTGATTTTTCTTGTCACACATTTCAAAACATTTATGTCTGTGTTAAGAGTATAAGTCTTGGGGCTGGGGAGATATAGCTCAGTGCTTTGGCCGAGGGCCTGGGTTTGATGCCTAGCACCCACATGGTGACTAACACCTGTTTGTTACTTCAATTCTAGGGAAGTTCATTTTCATCTTCTGACCTCTGTGGACATCGGACTACACAGGTGCACTTAGACACATGAAGGCAATATATTCATACACATAAAATAAAAATAAATATTTCTTAAAGAGTACAAATCTTGATAATTCCAATAAATACTTTTTTCCCTTATTTTCACATCTAATTTCATATCCTACAGTCAAAATGCCTCTTTGATTTTTGTTTTATACAATTACTACACATAGTTTCTGGATTCAGCTTCCTAAGTAAAGATGAAAAATATACATGTAAGTTAGAGCACAGTAATCAATTTTAATAATAGCTACTATTTCTTGAAGGCATACCTACTTTGTAGAGAGCAGGGTCCTTAATATTTCTCATTAAAAATTTCTAGTTTCAGGAAATAAATTCTGTCAAATTTATGAAATAGGTAGATTCCTATTTCTTGAATTAAAGTGCAATGATATTCTAAGATAGTGGTGTCCAGAGTAAAGTATGGACAGTTTAGGGGATATGTCAGTACAGTCTACTGAGTTGTAGGACAGATATTAAATTTAAAAAATTCTATTTTGTGTGTATTGAGTTTTCTGTCTGCATGTATATAATTGTACCATGTGTGTGCAGTGCCTTTGGAGACTTGAATAGGGTGTCAGAACCTATGGAACTGGGGTTAAGGATGGTTGTGAGTCACCATGTGGGTGCTGGAAACTGAACCTGTCCTTTGGAAGAGCAGACAGTGCTCTTAACTGCTGAGTCATCTCTCCAGCCCCCCCCCCCAACTTTTAAATTTTTATCCTTATTCATTTTCTTAGCTATGCTTACATATAATTCATAAGTTAATGATGTTCATATGTTTTCAGGGTTTTATCAGCCTTTCCAGTGATTTAGGGCATATGTGATCAAATAAAATTTGTATTTATGTCCAAAAACTTTTTAACCTTGAGAGCTCATTTAGACAGGCATAATTCTTCATTTCAGTATTACTTGTAGTGTCTGGCTACTAAGTTTGCTGAATTACTTTATTGAATTAAAAACACTCTGTAAAAATTAATGTGAATAATTCACTGTGAAGTCTTAGAGATAATTGTTTATATTTAAAATATTATTTGCTGACCAATAATAACATGATTGTCCTTATTATGCATATTACTTAGCTCAGCTCATATTGGCATGCTAAATGTATATAAAGTCAAATACAGCACTAGAAGTAATGGGGAACTGTGGAAAGAATATACAGCTAACATAATTTCCTGAATGATTTATTAGTGACGAGACCTCTTAAGTTTAGTTAAAATCTTAAAATGGATTGTAGTAAGTTTATCCTTTAGAGTTACACTTATTTACTCATTCCATAGCTTGGTACAAAAGAGCTGATGAAATCTTACCTTCATTGAAACCACTAAGTATCATTTTTATATGAAATGAAACTTCATAACCAAAAGCTTAATCTGTTTCCTGACCTTAAAATGATGTGCCTTTTTAAGATCGGAATGAATAGCCAGTTTTCTTACATGGTGGAGCAGGTTGGAGATAGAGGGCACCTTTGCCACAGTAACAGTCTCCTGCTCCCTAGATGATTACTAGCTCTTCCTGTGTTATGCCTCACCGTTGTTCTTTTGTCACACTTATCTACCTGTAATGATGACATTTTTAATTGCTGAAGAAACTCCCCTTTTCAATAATGTGCTTAAGGGTAGTATATGTTCTATCCAGTGATTTCTACCTGCTTTTCTGAACAACATGCTTTTCTGAACAACAATTTATAAACATAGAGCTGTTTGTAAATACTTGAAACTGGCATTTTTTTTTTTCAGGTAAATCGTAACATATATATATCCATCGTATGTGTATTCCAAATAGTAAAAAGGAAATACTACACATATTATATAAATGTTGTGGTTTGAATGTGAAATCTCCCTCATAGGCTCATGTGCTTGACCACTTGGTTCCCAGCTGGTGGCACTGTTTAGAAAGGTTATGATTCTTAGGAGGTGAAGGAGGAGGAGGGTTCCTGGGTCCCTTCCTTGAGGTTTTATAGCCCAGCATCATTTCCTTCTCACATTCTCCTTTTTGACTGGATGCAATGTAACCAGCAGCCTCCTGATTTTGCTCCTGTACCTTGTCTGCCTTAATGGAATGTCTCTCCTGAAACTGTAAGCCAGAATAAACTCCTCTTTCATTGTTTCTGCTTAGGTGTTTTTCTACAACAAGAAAAGCAACCAATATAGTGGGTTTCCCTGTGTAACTCCAGAAGTAACTGACTAAATTTAAGTAGATTTAAAGATGAATTAGCCCAAACATGGTAGTACATGCCTATAATCCCAGTGCTCAGAAGTCTGACGCAGGAGCACTGTGAGATCAAGGCCACCTTGTCCTATAAGGTAAGATCCTGTCTTAAAATCATCTGACAAAATGCTAATTTTGCTGTAGGCAGGCATGTTTCTTATACTGGCTGATTTGTAACAAGGAAGCCATGAGTATACCTTTCAGTGCTTTTGCTTACTAGCTTGAGCTGCCAAGTAGTTGTAACAGTTGTCTTTGTAATATGGCAAAAGCTGAACTGGACAGATTTGAGGGTGGTGGAAACAAAAAAATATGTGATCAAAATTTTGATCACTTTTACAAGGGTTTTCCAACCATTATCAGCCCTGGAGTTTATTTGATGGGAAAAATAATATTTTGGCTATTCTTATCTAGGTAAGTTCATTTTTTGACCTTGCCAGCAAGTTAAATACTAAAGAGAAAACACAATAGATTAAAAACCATAATCAGTGTTTTTATTCACTCTCTAGACTGCTAATAGGTAATTCTTGTCTTTGAGTCAAGCCTTGTCAATCACCTTAGCCATTTTTGTCTTCCAAAAGCCCACTAGCATGGAATAGCGTTTCAGAATGCTGGAGTCATGGAGCTCCTATGCAGTGGGTTGAATTTGTCCTTCCCCCATGTGTTGATACGTAGTTCTTCAGTCTGATGGTATTAGGAAATAGAGCCTTTTAAAAATTTTTTAAAATTTATTTTATGTATATGAGTATAATGCCTGCATGTAGGTAGGTGCACTCATGACATGCAGTACCCACAGAGTTCAGAAGAGGGCATTGGATCCCCTGGATCTGGAATTACGAACAGTTGTTAGCTGCCATGTGGGTGCTGGGAATCGAACTCGGGTCCTCTGTAAGAGCAGTGAGTGAGCTTAACTGCTGAACCATCTTTCCAGCCACCAGGACATAGGGCCTTTAAGAAATAAATTTGTTTATGGGGTAGAGCTTTCTGGACCTTAGAGAACTCTCACCCTATTTCTACCACATGAAGATACAACAGGAAATCAGCAGGCTGCAGCCTAATCATCAAAACTGATTATGATGGCATCTTGATCCCAGACTTCTAGCCTCTAGATTGGAGAAATTTCTGTTGTTTGTTAAGGCAAGTAGTCTGTGGCTTTTCATTATAGTATTCTTACTGACAATGACAATTTACCATAATAAAACCGCCATGAATGTATATTGCTTTTTGTCCATCAGACATAATCAGATCTATAAGAGTTAACCTTTTTTAGTAAGGAACACCAATCTCAAAATGTCTGCAATGGCCCTAGAAAGTATTCAGTTTTGAGACATCATCCCCTTCCTTTCCTTTCCTTTCCTTTCCTTTCCTTCCTTCCCTTCCTTCCTTCCTTCCTTCCTTCCTTCCTTCCTTCCTTCCTTCCATCATGTTGCCTATAATAATTTTAGTCCTCAAACTTTTTCAGTCTGAACCTTTCCCAAGCACCTTATATTAATTCAAATTGAACCTGAATACAAAACCTCACCAAATTGGGTCTTCCCTGTCCATTGTTCAGTTACTCATAACAC